CTCTTGTCTGTCGTGTTTCCTTTCATCTTCCCGCATTGCCCTCTCGTGGGCCATCATGTCCAGGAGCTCTTGCCTCCTCCCTACTTCTCGTTTGGCTTCCGCTGCCCGCCTCCTCTAGTCCTCTTCACGTTTTTGATCGGCGAGTGCCCGAGCGTCAGCCACCTGTCGCTCCATGAAGCTGGGACACGTGGCACAACGGCGCAAGAGAGGCACCAGGGTAGGGTAAGCTCTGGCACCTCCCTGATGGAGTAGCCAACAATAATGCTGCGATGACACTTCTCTGGTACAGGTTACGTCCACCAAAATAATCTAACAATAATGCACAGCGTCTACCACACGAAGGAGTTGCCAGCACCAAGGCATGGGCAGAGTCGACGAACAGCCTTACCTATCTTCCCCATCCTCGGCGAGCTTATTGGTCTTGGCACGGGACTTCCTTCCACGGGTTCTCGAAGGCCCACTCGCCGCCCCTGAAGGGTCCATGCCTGACATGGCGCGCGCACCCCCCACTGTTGCAGAACCGGGGATGGATGTCTGACCGGCGGCGGACAGCCCGGAGTTCGTCACGCCGGCGCCAAGCACCAACAACCTCGCCACCCGCTTCGTAACCTGAAGCACCTTGTCCGGCGTAACACGTTCTATGGGCCATCCGCTGTGAAACCAATTCGATTCCGGCAGGCTGCGGAAGTCCATCATTTCCACGCCGTAGAGCTCGAGCAGTTTAAACATGACCGACTCGTCAAACCTATCAAACACGGGCAGCTGCATATCCTCTTCACCAAGATCATCCATGTAGTCCTGGACGCTGTCTCCGTCGCGCTGGAGACTAAGCATTTTGTCGAGTAGTACCGTCATCATGGCCACGGCCCTTTCCGGCTGAACTCATCGGCCGTGAAGCCCGTGTTGAGGAAGTAGTCCTCCTCCTCTGTGGTGACCCCGGCACTTTGCGCAAGCTTCGGAATGCTCAGCGACCCCATGTGCTTCACCAATTCGCCAAGCGGTGGAACCTTCCTCGATGGCCCGCTCCCCGCGGGCGATAAGTCGTCGTCTAGCCCGCCCGTACTCATGGTCGGGCTCGATCGACCGCTGGCAGCGCCACCCGCCGAAGCCTCCGACGCGGGCCTCGCCCCCCCGATGCTGCTGGCCGGACTCACCCGACCGCTGGCACGGCCACCGGCCGCTGCACCGGAGCGGGAACCCAACGCGATGTTGTCGGCGGCAACAGCCTCTTCGAATGATGTAGCCTTCGCGCCCGCCCCGCATCGGGCCTTGCCCTGGTTGATGGCCCACATCCCCATCGCGGAGTGCGAGGCCGCCTCGTCGGCTTTCTTGTGCTTGGTCTCCACCGAGTCCTGCCTCGCGGCAGCCTTCGCGTCCACTGTCGCGGTCAGAACTTGGTCCTGTGCGGCACATCGCGGACAAGAAGCAACAGAGGCGCGGCAGCTCGTCAGCTCTACGACTTACAAATTGCATCATTAGCGTCGGCGATAGCTATATGCATCGTCTGTTTTGTACTTCCGTGTCAACACTGCTACGTCACGCCCCTAAACAATACAGAGTGGGAGTGAAAACCTCGATGCTGTTTTGATTTTGTGGGTGAAGGACCGTCTCAGCAAGCTAACTCTCTGCACGTTTTGCGTCGCCTGGCGTGTAGCACTCGGGCTTTCGTGCTGTCTATCTACTTCTGTCTTTCTTTTGTCATGCTGCGCATTTTAAGTTGGACTTACGGCTAACCCTGTGCGTACCCCTCTTATCTGCAAGTGTAACGTTGGTGACGACGGCAGGCATTTTCTTCGGTCGGGGCAGCGCAGGTGTTTCACGATACTCTATGGATTGTGGATTCTCCACGTGCAGATATTCGTGCCCGTCTTGTTTAGACTGTGCCATGTTCGTGTACACTCAGGCTTGCGCCCGTCACGAAAGGTAGAGATAGCTTACTGGCTCTAGACCCCTCACCAGCTGGACCTTGGTATTCTTCTCTACTTCGTCCTCCGCGCCACTCTCAGCAGTGCCGGCTCCGGTGTCCCGCAGGGCTTTACCATTGCTCTTGCTCTGGTCGTCAACGATCTTGTCGTAGCGCGATTTGCAATTTTTGGACGTCTTATCCTTGAACATCCTGACCAAGGGCTCTTGGTTGAGAATCTTCCAGCAGGTGTCCCACCTTTCGCCGACCAAACGCCCGCTCCCATTCTATTTCCACACTTCGTTCTGCAGACCTGTAGAGGACAAGGGTGGGAGCGCCTTTGAATGTCGTAGTGGGGACTTGCTTCGGCTCCATTTTTTACATCAGATACATGTGCGTTTTGAGTAGAGGGGGGAGCATAGGTCTCGCCACTAAACGAGTCCGTGAACGCCGGCCGTCTTGCAGCGCACGGAATGACTATTGCGCAGAGTGTCAACTGCACCGGGTCCGCGGTGCTTCGCAGTAAACAACATATTCGCCTGATTGAGAGCGAAGTATCTGATTGAGAGCGAGAGCCAAAAAAATTGAAATTTCGGGTCCAGACGCCTCTTGCCATTTCTTGGCAAGTAGGGGACGGGCTATTCCAAGAAGCGGTGCAAATTGAAGGTCTCATCAGCAGCTTCGCGAGCATATGCGTGTCATCGTCATCGGATGCTGCAGCGAGGAGCTAGACAAGTTGCTAGATTTGCCCAGATTGGCTATTTCTGCTCAAACTGTTTCAGGGCGGTATCGCGTCGGGCGGTGGGCTCTGCTGTAGCTTCTGCTCCCCGCTGTAGCTCCACAACGAGAGACTCCCACAGGATGACCAGGGTAGCGGCTTGAAGCTACGGGCTAGCCCTTCAATTCAAGCTACACAGCAAGCTCCACCTCTCAGTGGTAGTCCGGCTACAGCGTATCGCGCAATCTCGCTCTCAATCAGATGCTACGCTCTCAATCACGCGAATATGTTGTTAGTAGTTGTTTCGACATTCTTTCGGGTAGACTGCATCTACTGTGGCTACAGCGGGGTGCAGGATAAGTAACGCTGCGGGTAACCCCTTTTAACATGATGCAACATGATGTGCCACGGGTAGACTGCATCTCCTGTGGGACGCAGTAGCGGATCCGCGTCCACCATAATAGTCCGGCTATGTGCCGGTGTGTTGCGAAAAAATACTAGATAGTCGAGTACACCTTGCGTTTACAATTTTGTGCGCACTTTTGTCCTGCTGGTTCCATCTAAAGGCGACGTGTGACATTCTTTGCAAGTAGACTGCATCTACTGGGAGATGCAGCGGCTTCGTACGCCCAAAAAACTCGTCGCTGCTTGTAAATTTTAAACATGATGCCACATGTGACGTGCATTTTTTCCGCGTCGGAACCAGTGCAAGAAAGTCTCACCTTCTTCGCCAAGCAAGACTTGTATCTCCCCTACGAACACCGAATATAGCTTTGTGTTCCTACCCTACTCCGCTGCTATTCGATTGAATCTTTCGTATAGTCTATGTTGTGCACTCGTTGCACCCTCATTGCCAAGAATCAACAATCTGGTTCGGAGTGGCTGTCTCTTTCACAGTTCAAAAACAGCGTGCATGTATGCGCGCGCACATGGGTCGCTCCCTCAACCCCAGCAAAGGAAACAACTAACTCCAGCACAGGGAATCGCACCAGTACGGAGACAGCAAGTACGTATACCACTGCTGTGGCCGGCTGCTCCTGCAGTGCTGTGTCGCGTTCGGAGCGTATGGGGGTGGGGTTTGGGGAGCACCCGGCGTAAATCCACCAGTGCTTGCGCACAGAATTTCCGTGCAAGCGGTGAAAAAGTGAAAACGCCTCCAGAACTACTTACAGACCCATTTTNGTTGTTGTTGTTGTTGTTGTTGTTGTTGTTGTTGTTTTTGTTGTTTTTCTCCCATCATTGGACTCTGTCGTCTGCCCCTCTGGCCCCTATCCTCCACTTCTACTAGCTAGACCACCCAACCGGGGTCACACAGGAGGGGGGGGCTGGACCCCCTCCTGCGGTTCCTGCCTGAGGTATTTTTATCGCGAGAAGGGTACATACAGCAATTTCGCTGGTGTGGGTGTGATGCTTCGAAGAAAGTTGCTTAAATAGTTGGCAAAAATTTCCACAAAACGAGCCTCGCTCGGCTCTAAAATCTAAATATTTTTTCCGTATTTCGGGTTCTGGCGAGACTGCCAGGGAACGATCCTGGCAACGATGGCTTATCTCAAAATATATTCCCTTATTTCAGCTTTTTTTGTGTCCGAAACTGTCAATTTTCTTAATGTCACACAACAAATCCATCTCTACCTACAGAGATAAGTCTAAGATAGATTAGCAATGAATCCATAGCGTGAGCGAAAGGCTACCTGTATATGTCTACGGTTTCCCAAACAGCATACAATTGTACAACGATATCTTCTTGTTTTATTTTGATCGGTTTCTGGAGGCTCTTTCTCGAACAGTCGGTGCGGTACCTACCTGTGCTTTTCTTTCTATCATTTTTGTTTTCTTTTTCCGAGTGGTGTGTACCCTATTTTTGTTTCGTTTCCCCGCGGCGTCGTATGTGCCGGGTTTTGAGACCACGGGCTCCCCATTTTTTGTGGACTATAGAGCCAATGTGAGAAACAACAACAACAACAACAACAACAAACGCCTGAAAGACACAAACCATAGCCAGCCATGGCATACCACTAGAAGAGACATCCGGGCTGGTTTTTATTTCGTGTGTTTGTGTTTGTGTTCGCTCGTCACCAGCCCACAGGCGAGGACCCCGAACATCCCGAAAAATGTGCCAAGTGTGGTCATACGACTGCGTGTGTGTATGGTGTGTGTGTTGCAATGCTCTTGATAGCTGCCAGCACTAACCGAATTGCTGCACATGCTTCCGCAGTAGTAGAGGTCGATCTCGACGTTGCTCTGGACGCTTGTGCCTGCCCGTTCCACCGTGAAAGTCCTGCGCGTCATCATCGACGAAGAGGTTTGAGGTCTCATCAGGTTGCGGGAAGTCTCGGGATGGTCCGCGCCACGCACATTCTACTTCAGCTGTGCATAGTCTACACAACAAGCTTCTGATCGCAACTGACACTTGATGCTGGTGGTGGCGCTCTCGCCGATGCCAACACCAGTGCCCGAGCCTGACCAAGAGAGTTCATGGTGGTACCCTTGGGAATATGGAGAGCTCGGGCCAAGCAAGTACGTGTGCGACAGGTAAAGGCTGACGATCATGATGATACCAAGTTGCCCAAGGAGAGGTGGGGACAATTTTCAATTTTCCAATACCGTAAGTGACACAAGATAACACACCCCGGTGATAACATTTCTGAGTTTAAAAATATTTATCACCGGTGTGGTATCCTGTGGGGGGTGTGGTATCTTATGTATCCCGGGTGATAAAGTGCAGCTCGCAGGGAGCCTTAAGGGGGTGTGATAAACCAGGGGGGATGACACAAGATAACACACCCCGGTGATAACTTTTCTGAGTTTAAAATATTTATCACCGGTGTGGTATTCTGTTGGGGGTGTGGTATCGTATGTATCCCGGGTGATGAAGTGCAGCTCGCAGGGAGCCCTAAGGGGGTGTGATAAACCGGGGGGGGTGATAGCACGTCGGACCACCCACAGGGTCTGTTTGGGGGTGTGATAAATGAGTGGGTGTGATAAAAAGGGGGTGTGATAGTACGTCGGACCACCCACAGGGTATGTTTGGGGGTGTGATAAATGAGGGGTGTGATAAAAAGGGGGTGTGATAGCACGTCCCAACACCCACGTGTGATGGTAAATGAAGGGGTTTGTTATACTGCCCCGCACATACCATGGTACGCCACCTACCGTAATGTAATACTGCGAGATGTGGTAAACAGACGGGGCTCAACGGAGGTGACGAAACGCTTGAGCACATGACCTCGACGATGTGTTACCTGCTCAACGCCAAAGAAAGTTTCAAACAAAAAGGGACTTGAATGGAGCAGAAAAAAACGAAAAAAAAATGTTAGGATCGAGGGCGCCCGCGCCCCGCGGCGCTGCGGCAAGTAAGGTGTCGCCTGGGAGCTAGGTATACGTTATGACCCAGGAGCGGCGGGGACAAGAACCAAAAATGATAACGGGTCCAGCAGCATCCGTGTTTCTATCATGATTGCAGGATCAAAAACTAAAAACACAAAAATCAAAGGTACCTCGCCCGATATATTGCCAGGCGGTCGCCACAGAGTGGCCATTCCGTCCTACCCCCTCACAAACAAGTACCTAGTAGGCCGCTGCTACCTACCTTGCTACGTCACCACGACCAAAAAAAATCAAGACCACTAACCACTACCGCAAACAACACTACGCTGCACTCGACGCATCGAAGAAAACACACGACGAAGGAAGAGAAACGCACGCCAGGCGAAATGCGAGGGAACATGAGAAGGACACCACAAGCCATTTCTCAACACCAGCATCGCCGCCGATGCTTATTTCTTCTTTCAGCTCGTCATCCCACCACTTAACCGATACCCCACATCGTACCACCTTCTTTCCCACTACTGAGGGGGTGTGATAAAAAGGGGGAGCACGTCCCAACACCGACGTGTGATGGTAAATGGACGGGTTTGTTATACTGCCCCGCACATACCATGGTACGCCACCTACCGTAATGTAATACTGCGAGATGTGGTAACCAGACGGGGCTCAACGGAGGTGACGAAACGCTTGAGCACATGACCTCGACGACGTGCCTGCTCAACGCCAAAGAAAGTTTCAAACAAAAACGGACTTGAATGGAGCAGAAAAAAACGAAAAAAAAATGTTAGGATCGAGGGCACCTGCGCCCCGCGGCGCTGCGGCAAGTAAGGTGTCGCCTGGGAGCTAGGTATACGTTATGACCCGGGAACGGCGGGGACAAGAACCAAAAATTNGACTTGAATGGAGCAGAAAAAAACGAAAAAAAAATGTTAGGATCGAGGGCACCTGCGCCCCGCGGCGCTGCGGCAAGTAAGGTGTCGCCTGGGAGCTAGGTATACGTTATGACCCGGGAACGGCGGGGACAAGAACCAAAAATTATAACGGGTCCATCTACCAAGCAGCATCCGTGTTTCTATCATGATTGCAGGATCAAAAACTAAAAACACAAAAATCAAAGGTACCTCGCCCGATATATTGCCAGGCGATCGCCACAGAGTGGCCATTCCGTCCTACCCCCTCACAAACAAGTACCTAGTAGGCCGCTGCTACCTACCTTGCTACGTCACCACGATAAAAAAAAATCAAGACCACCAACCACTACCGCAAACAACACTACGTTGCACTCGACGCGTCGCAGAAAACACACGACGAAGGAAGAGAAACGCACGCCAAGAGAAATGCGAGGGAACATGAGAAGGACACCACAAGCCGTTTCTCAACACCAGCATCGCCGCAGATGCCTCACGGCTCCTCGCCCTCGTCGTCGCTGATGTCCACCACCACCACGCCCGTGTCGTCGTCATCGTCGATCTCCAACACCTCCAGCA